CATCCACCCACCCTTTTACTCAGCAGACGCCTTCCAAGCCCTGTGCCAGGCCCGGCACCCGCTTCCAGGGAACGGAGCAGAACAGGTCACGGACACTGCCCTTGTGGAGCCCACATCCCAGGAAGAGACACGGGGAAACATAAATTCAGGGTGACGCGGGCCAAAACTGAGGTGTGTATGGGCCTGGAGAGGGTAACAGAGACAGCTGGTCTTCTGCAAAACACAGGGGCTACCCTGGATGCCCGTTCCGGTCCCTTCCAACCGGGCACATCCGTGAGTGTGCCTCGAGTTACCTGAGGTTCTGTAAAGACGCCAATCATCCAGAAAACACAGATTTATCCTCAGCCTCGTCCAGAGCCCTTCTGAACCACCTGAGGCACCTCAGCCTGGCCTGGGCAAGCCCCCCTGCCAGGGTTCAGCTGACCACACGGGGCTTCACGGTTGCTCTCTGGCATTGGCTGCAACACGGCCGAGCCTGGGGAAGCCCGGTCATCGTCACACGTGCACTGGCCACGTGGCAAGACGGCCCCGGAAGTGCGGTTTGTCGAAGGGGTTTCCATAACCAGCAGCAGCTTCAGGGTGAAGCGGTTAAGGGCGTAAGGGGCTCAGTCGGCCCCACACAGGGCTCCCCATAACCTGGGTCCATTTCCCTCGAAGAACTAGTGAGAACGTGGCACGCTTTGCCGAGAATCTGCCCTCTTGCTCATCCCCGTAAACAACAAAGTCCACCAGATCCGTAGGGGAGGGTACCGATCACGCTAAGGCTCCAGCGCCAACCTCCACGCAGCCCCATATCCGCTCAGGACCCGAGACGAAGGGGTCCAGGGAGAGGAACAGGTTTTATCTAAAGTGGAAACGGCTGTCTGGAGGGGGCCATGACTGATTACTGATGTCTGCTGTGGCAGAATGTGGTGGCCTCTTCGCCATCCCTGCGGTCGGTTTAGTGCAACAAAGGAGAGCTTTCTGTCACTTATAATTTTCATTGCACATTCTCGGTGAATGGTCACCTGCGGATGGCACGTGTGTCTCTATATCTCTTTGAGGATGTGGAGGCATGTGTGTGGTTTATCTGAACAGCCTGTGAGCCAGACTACCCCATTTCCCAGCCACGTCAGGTCCTGGGGGCTGGCGGAAAGAGACAAAGTTTCACTCCTTTCCGTATATTGGACAACACGATGATCGGCGACGAGCGGCAACATCGTCAACGTGATGGTGATCAATATCATCGTCAACATGGCCATCACCACCACCGTCATTATTACCATCACTGTCACCAACACAGGCACCATCACCGTCGTCATCCTCAACATCACCATCACCTGGTACGGCTCACCTGGTGTGCCTTTCGTACCAGGCCACGTCCAAATGCCCTGTGGACATTAACTCATCTCATTCGCACGCGATCTCTCTGAAGTAGATACTATCATTATCTCTACTATATACACAAACAAAGGGAGTCTCACCGAGGCTATACAGGCAGGATCTGAACCCAAGAAGGGTGGCTCCAGAGTCTAGGCTTCAACCACTGTGCCCCACTGAATAGTGACTGTTGATTCCCTCTACTCAGAGCAGCGAGTCGCAGGTGGCAATAACCCCTTGCAGAACGCACCGAGAGAAATGGGCCCACCAAACCCGGACCCTGGCCCCAGCCCAGGCACGACCCCTGCCTCCTCGGGCCTCCGTTTTCCCATCTGTAAATCAAGGAAGTGAATGAACATCCGGATGATCTCCAAGCTCCCTCAGGCCACCACTGCACGTGACCTGCCGGCCCCCTCCCCTCCCCGCCAGATTCCAAAGCCTCCAGAAGTCTGCAGGGTCCCTCCTGGGGAAGCTGGTGGGCCATCTGATGGCCCTTGGGGGAACACTCCAGCAGGCTCCATCAACTCTGACTGATGACTCTCCTCAGGATGAGAAAACCTCAGTGCAAGGGGCACAGCGTCCACTCAGGTCCCCAGAGCCCCTGCCAGCACTCACTCCCAGAGGTCTGGGGACTGAGCAGCCAAATGGCATCCTCTTGGTTCCGAACAGTTTTCTTCTTACTGTTAAACCAGCAGCTCAACAGGTAACGATTTACCACCCGTGTGACCCTGTTCATTAAGAACTTCCACTGATCTAGGCACGCCTGGCTGTTAGCAGGGTCGTGAGTTCAAGCCCCGCGTTGGGCACGGAGCCTACTTAAAATAAAAAGAAACCAAGCAGATAGAATTTCCCCTTGATATGTAATTTCAGCTCATGCGGCCCAACCCAGATCAAAAGCTCCTTGAGGGGAGGGGCAAGATTGCACTATAATTAACACCCCCGAGGCAGGCAGCACTGAGCCATTTTCACAAGTCTCCACCATTCAAGATGTCATTAAATGAGCCAGCTCACACCGCCTCTCACAGCCGGAACCGCTGAAAGGCGCTGAAGACAGATGACGGTGATGGTGACAAGGACAGTGATGGCACCATCATCTGCGTCCCGAGCACATGCTGTGTGGTGAGCGTCTGCCGTGAGCCAGGCAGTGTGACTGGCCCCCGGTGCCCTACACCGCATGTCGTTCAATCCTCAGGACGGCCTACGGCGGGGGGGTGGTATTTGGGGCCCATATAACCAGAGGGTAAACTAAGGCTCAAGAGGTCAAATGTCCACCTAGACTTTCACATCAGCTGCAATGCTCCCATGCAGAGGCCGGGCCCACTCTCGCTCCCCTCCCTCATCAGACAGGGTGGAGGTGATACCATGGCAAAACCGAGTTCCCACGTGGACCCAGCACTCCACGCTTCCCGGCCGCCCGCACAGCCCCTCTGTGGGCATACCATCTGACGGGAACTCCAGTCTGGGCAAAAGACAGCCAACTCGGACTAGGCCTTTTCTGCATCATGCCAGGCCCTGCCCCAGGAGCTGGGGAGACGGGGACAGACCTGGAAGGCAAACTAGGGGCTCACCGTGAGCCCAAGTGTGACAGCGTCAGTGTGGAGGCCCCAGTGCTGAGCCCATGGCCAACCCTCTAAGTGAGCTCATAGTTCGGGGGAAGGACAAGGCACTTAATTATAATCCGAAGGCAGAAATGCTATGATGGAGAAAATCCCAGGGGCTTCTGGGGTCAGAGGAGGTACACGATGGGGCTGTGTGTGTGTGTGTCTGGGTGTGTGTGTCATTGTGTAGGAGGGCTTCCCAGAGGAGGCAAATCTAAAGCCTGATTAGGAACTGGCCAGGACACAAAGGGTGGAAAAGGAACGCCTCGTAGGGGAAAGACTCAAGCTGGGGCTCAGAAGCACGGAAGAGCCTGCTGTGTGGATGTGTGCCCAGGACACAGGTGCCATTCAGGGTCTCAGGAGGTGAGGGGCAGAGGCTGGAGAGACAGCCAGGCCCCTGGCGGTTCCAGAAGCGCATTTCCAAGCCTCCTCCTTTTCCGTGCTTACATTGAGTCAGCGGGTCTAACTCCCAAGCAGAGCTCAAGCAAGTGGAGAGCTAGAGCCGGACTCTGAAGGGCTCCAGGGGAACAGGCAGGAGACGAGGTGTGGGCCTCTAGGTGGGGGGATGGCAGGAGGGGGACCGCAGGAGCCGGGCTGGAGGAGGACAGGTCAGGTCAGCGGCTCACACAAGCAGAGATGGGGGGTTGCCCCCGGCCCTCCCTTGCTACAGCCCCGGACCCGGAGTGGGGAACGGAGGGTCAGGAAATGGTCACGCAGCGCCCCACACGTGCCACTTGGAACCTCCAGGCACTGCCGGCAGGGGGGCCGCCCGTGCCACCAGGCTTCTTGCTCGTGACCTGCCCTTATCTGCCTCCAGCCTGGCCTCCTTCCAGAGGTCCGTGCGTAGGCGCCAAGCTCCCCCCTCGGGCTTCTGGGCCCCAAGCAAGGCCGGAGGTCTGGCCAAACCGGGCAGGATCCAGAACGCTGTCAGCTGCCCGGCGCTCAGCCTCAAGCGGACGCCCAACAAGTGAGACGGGTGAACAGTGTGAGCATCCCAAGGAGGCACGGCCACATCGCAGAAAGCCCCCGCAAAGCCTTACACAGAACGGACATCTTATTCTCGCGGGTTGCTTTCCCGACGCGAATCTTCCGCTTTGCGAAAGCAAGCTGGGAGGGCTTGGGGACAAGAAAGCGAGATGCTAGGGAGCCGTGGAATGGCCATTAAGAGACCTGGGGCTTAGTACTCGCCGTGCCCTGTGGGACCTGGGGGCTTGTTTCTCTCTGAGCCCCAGCCTTCCTCATCTGTCAAGTGGGGACAGACAGGGAAGATTTGGATCAAGGGCTCTCATCTGGGTGTACACGTGGGTCATGGGGACAGCTGTTTCCAGCTCCCCGATGATGGGTTTCCCCAGAGCCACCCAGTCAGACCCTCCCTGACAGATGCACCCATGGGTTCCATCCAGTTTGGAGGGTCCTGGCTCCAACGACAGCCAACGCTGTTCGTGTCTCTCCGACTTTCAGCTTTTTGGGGGAGGCAGTTCCAGTGCTGAGCAGTCAAGCCAGCACTCCAGGTGCAGGGAAGGAAAGGCTGGACAGACAGATGGGCACAGCACACATTTACATCTTTGCCCAAGCTCTCGTACCTGAGCTAGCCCCCGAAAGGCCGAGGCTGGCTACCACTCAGGTCTTTCAGGGAAGTTACAGGCCACATGGGGTGGTTTTGGTGGTCCTGAAGTTTGGGACCCGGCGGAGGGTTACCCCAGGCCTTTACCACCCCCCCCCCAAACGTATCCAGTCAGGGACTGAAGGACAGATAGATCATTAGACACTTCACCTCACTTAATACACAGCAAAACAAAAGTTTCAATTCCAGGGTGAGTTAGGTACCCCATGACTCCAAATTCCTCCCTCCAGGGAGACAGTAGGTTCCCAAGAAGCCCCCAGCCTCCCTCCCAAGGCTGAGTGAGGCCCGTGATGCTGGCACCCGTGGGGTGCGGGTGCTGGAGAATCAGCCCCTGCTGGTGTCCACGGGGGCGGGCATCAGCCACGTATGGTGGCCGTGGCAGCCGCAGGGTCCAGCGGGGAGGGCTGGGCTGGGCTCACCTTCACACTGCCTGCCCTCTCCTTTGTAGCCCGGCTTGCAGAGGCATTTATAAGACTTGGGCGTGTTCTGGCAGATGGCATCGATGTGGCAGTCATCTGTGCCCTCCGAGCACTCGTCCACGTCGACTGCCCCTGTGGGGGAGGGGGAAACACCTGGTCAAGCGTGGCCGCAGGGGCGGGGGGACAGGGAGCTCCTTCCGCCCCCCACCTTCCACGGATCACAGGGGTAATTAACAGTCATAGCCATCACACGGCAGTGTGTGTGACAAGCGGCGACTGGCAGCATTTTGGGGGCAGCTACCAGGCACAATGCTACCTAAAGGCTGGCCCCCATTTATTTTCCCAACAATCCCATTAGGTCAATCTATTTCTCCTGCTAGGAATATGACAAAACCGAGGCGCAGGAACGCGGCCAGGAAAGCCTCTCTGTGCGTCTTGCTCTCCCCGCAACGCAAACACGGCTCCAGCCCTCCTCCACTCTCCTTACTCTAGAATTTGAAGCCAGAAGGCTCTTGGGAGAATTTGAGTCCATCGTCTTTAGGTTACAGGTGGGGAAACCAAGGCCAGGATAGAGTGATGAACAGAGGCCAAGCCGGGAGGCCCAGGTGGGTGACCTGCCCCCACTCAGCCCCCAGACTGTGAAAATAGATGGCTCTTCACTCAGCTTCTGCCCCCAGGCTGCAGAGGCCGACCGTGGGGCCACGTCCTCAGTGGGGTTGAGCCGGCCTCTCCACGGTTCTGACCTCCCCATCCCCCCTCCCCTCCATCTCAGAAACCAAGGGGCGAACCTGGTTCTCGGATCCCAACTCCCAAACTCAAGTTCAGTCTAGGTTTAGAAAAAAAAATTTTTTTTTTTTTTTTTTACACTTATTTGTTTTTGACAGACACTGGTCAGGGAGGGATAGAGAGAGAGGGAGACAGAATCCGAAGCAGGCTCCAGGCTCCGAGCCGTCAGCCCAGAGCCCGACGCGGGGCCTGAACTCACGAACCGCGAGATCATGACCTGAGCCGAAGTCAGACGCTTAACTGACTGGGCCCCCCAGGTGCCCCAAGTTCAGTGTAGGTTTTGAGGGCTCTCGACACTCCTCGCCTCCCTCCCCAACACACACATACACACCTTCCGTCTGAAACAGCTGTTGGGCAAAATAACGCAAAATAGGTTCTGTGTATCTGTACATACATCCACCCCATTCCTCCCTCCCCACCAGCACAGAGCTCAGACAGGGAAAGGACCCTCGGGACACAGGGTAGCACAGTCAGAAGAACCTTAGCAGATGAGGAAACTGAGGCCCAGAGAGGTCTGTTGTAGGTCAGCAGTTCATTAGGGGCAGAGACTGGAGTCTATGTGCTATGTTACTTCCAGCTAGCTATGAATAAAACACAGTTGGATGACAGATAGAAGGACTCGGAAGAGCAGAAAAGGAACCCTCAGCAGCTACCCTGAGGGCAGCCACCCAGGGGCAAGCGTGGCGAAGTCCTGGAGTGACCCCCTCCCTTTATGACTCCAGCCTTACCCTAGACTGTCTGGTTCTCAAGACTGTCCACTCTGGATTACTCCCCTGGCTGGCATCGGGTTCTAAGTCTGTGGGGGGTCTGTCTAAGAGGGCAAAGCTCCTCTCCTACGTCCCTAAGGCTCCAGCCTCCCCCAGAGGAAGAGAGGCATCAGCCAGACACATGC